TCAATCATTGATTGTTTGTTGTCTTCATTTATTTCAGGTGCAGAATTTTGAGCGACTACTGCGAGCTATCTATGCACCTCAAAATATTTATTGTGTCCACGTGGACAAAAAAACAGAGGCCTCAGCCCTTGCTGCCATCATGGCCATCACTTCCTGTTTTCCCAACGTCTTCCTGGCCAGTCGGCCTGTGAGTGTGGTCTATGCTGCTTGGCCACGCGTCCAGGCTGACCTGAACTGTATGGCTGATCTTTATAATGTCAGTACAGAATGGAAATACTTCATCAACGTTTGTGGCCAAGATTTCCCTCTGAAAACCAATTTGGAAATTGTGAGGACACTACGTTCATTGAAGGGCCGGAACAGCATGGAGTCAGAAAAAATGCCAGATGGAAAGATTTGGAGGGTGACAAATGCTCACCGGATAGTTGATGGAGGAATCGAGGTACTTAACCTGAAGATTAATACATACCTAGATAGATGACGTAACCTTGTCAATATCAAAATGTTCTGTTCACACTGACCTCACTGACTGTCATCATCATAATATTGTACTATGTCAACTGCCGCAGGGGACGGGACAGAAAAAGACGCCACCTCCCTTCAACCTGCCCATTCTGTCAGGAAATGCCTACATTGTGGTCAGCCGAGGTTACATCCGCAGTGTGCTGGAAGATGAGCGAATACAGACGCTGATGGAGTGGGCCAAAGACACCTACAGTCCTGATGAGTTTCTCTGGGCGACTATTCAACGAATGCCTGGTGTTCCTGGCTCAACAAGGCCCCATCGTAAATACGACATGACAGATATCAATGCAATTGCTCGGCTGGTGAAGTGGCAGGGGCATGTGGGTCCAAAGGATTCCCTGGATGCGGTGTATCCACAATGTCATGGCGATTATGTGAGGGGAATATGTGTGTATGGGGCTGGAGACCTGCAATGGATGATTGCTCAGCATCACCTCTTTGCCAATAAGTTTGACATCAACACAGATCCCATTGCTATCTACTGCTTGGAGAAATATCTGAGACTGAAGGCGCTGGCTGAGTCATATTAGATGGAGATATTTCTGGTAACCAAGAATGAGTCAGAACAAAATGCTACTGTTTTTGATGATAGCAGAACTGACAGGGTGAATACATTCATCTTGTTTTGTGTAAAATATTCACCTCTCAGCCACAACATTGACGCCACCTGCCTGATATTATTGTGTTCGTCTCTCTCATGCTGCCACATCAGTACTAAATCCTTGGAGAGTGGGGGTGCTCTTAGCTCAATTGAACAGTGAGTGCCAAAAAAGCAGGAACCAAGGTTTCCCAACAGAAAATTACATTGCATCAAGACAATCATTTACTCGCATCACTCACCGGTGGCGAGGCAATATAGTTTTTGGGGGTATAAAGATTGTAATCTTCTGCCACGCACAAAACTTTTTTGGGAGATGCTGTTATTTATTAAGTTAGAGATTAGATAGATAGATTCTTCATTGTCTGCCTTGAATAAAAACAGAAATTAAAATGTTGCAACTGAGCATGGAGTCAATGAGTGATCTATATACCTGAGTTAAAATGTCGTTGCTGATGTCAAAGGTTCTCAATTTTCTGAGCAGGTGGAGACGCTGTGGTGCCTTTTTGTAGACAGAGTCAGCATATTGTGAGGGGGACGGGCAGGTATCGAGATAAGACTGTTGCCAAGCTCACATTGACATAGCAACCTTTCCTTAGTGGTGTTGATGTTTAAGGCTCTGGTAATGTGAAAACTCATTTAAGTCTTTGGTGTATATCCTGATACAACCACCACAACAGGGCCCGAGGTCGATAGCTAGACTCTTCTCCTCTGTGGTTCCGCGGTGGTGGAACGAGTTACTAAACTCTGTTCAATCTGCTGACTCCCTCTCAGTCTTTAGGAAAAGATTAAAGAATCCCTGATATGTTAGTGCCCAAGATAATCGGGTGGACTCCTGACTGCTTCTTCTTCTTATAAAAAAGATGATTTTACACGATCATTACATTGAGCTTTCTTTGCAAAGTTTATGATGTATACTCCGTGAATGTCACTATGGGTGGGGGGAGGGGGATATTTATTAGTTCATTGTATATATGTGTATTTGCAGTTCAATATAACAAATTACAGTGACAGAAATCCAATGCTCTCCTATTGCTGTGAGTCTAGCAGTCTATTTCATCATTTTATTTGGGCTATTACATCATCCATCCATTATCTA